CCTGCAGCTCCACCTCCAAGTACCTGGGGGGCGGGGCAGGGATACTGAGAGGGGCCTGGGAGAGCGGTGGTCCTGAGCAGGTGAGGCAGGGTTCCACGTCTTCCAGCAGCTCGCCAGTCTGACCGCCATCTGCTGCATCGTGCTCTGGGGCCTGAGAACCCCTCCCTCCCAAATCATCCAGTCGCAGCTGTTCCACTTGAGAGGCAATGGGCACCGATTCCAGCCTCCCGGGGTCTGGCCTCAAGGAGGTGGAGGGGGCCACCCTCATTTCTTCCTTCTCCCTGCGTGATGTAAAGTGCTTCACGAGGGCGGCCCAGAGCCCATCGATCCACGGCTCAACCACCAGCTCCAGACTGGATCATGGAACAGAAGAGACAAGAAAGAAATCCCTAAGGATGCAGCAATGGCCGAGGGCAGAGCTGCCCGTGTGACTGATGGTCTGCAGCTGCGAGCGCAGAGCGTGCTTTTTAGGTGTCCATTTCAGTGCTAAAGCAAAGCCTGGCACATCTTAAAGATGCACACTGTCCCCTATCAGTTAGGACCCACTAGAAAACGCAGTGCAGAGCGGGACACTCACCCCACACAGTCGTCTGCATGCCCAGTGTCGTAGAAGTGCCGGGCTCCGAGCTCCTGCAGCCGCCGGTCGATGATTTTCCCGCCATTACAGAAGTAAGTGTATTCCGAGTCCCCCAGACCTGAAGAGCCAGACGCAGGGTTAATGCCCAGCCCCCTCACGGATGAAAGACAAGGCAACAGCCCTACCGCCTGCTCTTTGAGTTTTCACTTCTACTGCGGTGAAAACATACACAGGACATTCACCAACATAACCACTTCCCCATTTACAGCTCAGGGACATCGATGACATTTTGCATGTTTGACCAATATTAGTGCTATCCTTTTGTAAAATACTCCATCACCATTAAAATAAAATCAATGCACCACAAACAAAACCTTCCCGTTTCTCCTTCCTTCCTAATCCTGGTAACCACTAATCTTTGGTGTATACAC